GCAACCGCGGGAGGGAGGGGGAGGGAGGACCGACCCACCGCACGACCGACCGAAGGCCCCGCCCCCACACGGCCCGGCCCCGCCCACCCAGCGGCCGCTTCCCCGGCGGGAGCGAGGGAGGGGCGGGGCTCCCGGGAAGGAGCGCGGCGGCGGGACAAGCCTTTCGCGCAGGAGCGGAGGCGGCCTCCCCGGCGCGTCTTACGTCATCACGCCGCTGCGCACGCAACGCCCCGAAGAGCGGCGCCGTGTCACGTGAGAGAGAGAGAGGGCGGAGAAGGGAGCGGAGGCGGAGCCACGCCCCCACCCTGCCACCCCCGATCACGTGGCAGGGAACGTGACGTCGCCCGGGCGAGGAGGCGGAGCGCGCAAGCCTTCCCTTCTTTGTCTTCCGGTCACGTGAGCGGAAGCGCCTTCTCTCGCGGTTGGCACCTCGCCCCTTCCGGGCGAAAGGGGCGGAGCCGGACCCGCCCCCCCTCGACGTCAGCGTCTCGCTCTGCGCGCACGCGCGACGAACTCAGCGCACCCAGCCGCTGCGGGAGCGCTCTGCATGTGCTCAGAGGCATCGCTCCCTCCTGCCGTGGAACTTGCTCCGACTCGCAGCTTTGCCCGCACGTTTATTTTTAGACCGTAAAAGATAAGGGAGTACGGAGGTGTATTTATTATTATTATAAAGGTTAATAATACTTTTTTATAAATATAAACAATAATTTATACTGTATTGTTAATTTATTACTTATTATAAATAATTAATATTATAATTTAAAAATTATTATTATCACCATTAATTTCCAAAATTCTGGTTACAGTACTTATTTGGAAACAGAAAGGAAGCCCAGTGGAGGAATCCAACTGACCCGCCTGGAGGTTGGTTGGCGGCAGAGGAGAGGCGCGAAAAAGGGGTTCGGACCTCGCCGTTGGGGGCACAGACCCAGCCTCCCTCAAAGCAAGCAGCCCGACAACTAAGTGGGCGCTGACTACAGTCCCCATCATCCTCAGCAGGTCTCTGTGGGATGAGGAGTCGCTGCCTCCACAGCCCCCACCCCCCATGTCAGGGGTGGTGGTGGTGGTGGGTTCGGGGGAAGACGGACCTGCTGGAGGAATCAAGTGTTGCCCGCCTCAGAAACATCGCGCTGGCTGACCCTCCCTGAGGAGAAGGGACCTGGACTGCTGTGCCCATGATCCCCAGAGCCCATGCTTCTGTCTCCCAGCATGCACCCGGGACACCAAGCCGCACTGCCGCCCACCCCCACCCCACCC